AAGATTGCGCTGGCGAAGCTGAGTCATAGATCGTCGTTGTGTTGAGTCAAGAGTGAGTAAGAGTTGAAAAGCTGCTTTCACACACAGCAGTACTAGAACCGAATGTGGCAACGCTTGCAGCCAGTGCATATAATTTAGGGAAAGCCAATTTCTGCTCGTATAGTTTTGAAGAACAAGATTGGAGTCATGCTTTTCTGTCTTGGCAACGTTATCTTGGAGAAATTGTTTTGACACCTCAATTGTTATGCTTCTCGAGGCCCTTTCCAGTATCACCTACAGCATGCTTCCAATCTGTGTAGCCTTCAGTGATGAATTTTTATGCACCCGCAGTTGTATTGGGAAACACCCGACATGGAAATCAAAAAGGGGCGTCCCTTGACACTGAATACTTCAGCCATGGAAATCGATCATACCAGCTGTTACTAAAATGGCGCCCAGACTTCGCTGGAAATTTTATTCTCGGTTGCTTTGGAACGTCTTCTTTTCCAATGTCACCTTGTACTCCTGTCTTTTCAGAGCATCTTGGTACTGCATCCGTTGTGTTGTCCGCTGTGGTTTTGATACCAGTGTCAGTCCCAGTAGTGTCGGAACCATCAAGCAATTTGTCTTTTTTGATCAAATATTTATCCATTTTTCCTACGTTTGGTTGTTTGATTCATATGAATACAATTTAGGATAATATATGTCTATTAGTTAGTATTTATAATCAACCAATCAAATCTTTTGAATTTTGGGACGGGACAGATTACAATCCAGTATCAGACCAATAATTTTGTTACCAATGACGCTTTACTGCAGCCTTTTTATGATTTTCAACGAACTCAATTGTATCAAATTATCTATTCTAATGTAATTAAATTTAAAAAGCTATGAATAAACAGAAAGATATTTAAAAACAGTTCTAGGCCTACAGATAGGAATACTTAGTATTTTGTTGAACCATTTCGCATAACGCAGCCCTGAAAGCCATAACCTTATTTTTCGTTACGTATAAACAAAAGATAGCAGCTGACTGGTTCAATTACTCCACCATAAAATGCCTGACCAGAATGACCACTGTTTGCTAATCACTCAGACTCAGTTACCTGCCGCTCCTATTGACTCAGGAAAAAGAAAAGGTGTATTTTAAAAAAGTGACCGGTACATTTTTCTAAGATATATTTTTAAATAGATATAATAGCATACTTAAGAAATATTTTCAGGTATAATTTACGGCGTTTTTGATAATGAAATTTTTTACAGTATGAACGGTTTCGGAGTTATTGCCCCTGGCTTAGTAAAAAGTGTCATATTTGGCTTATAGGCACTATAGAGACTACATCTTTTTATCCGATCTTAATGAAACTTGGTATGTATGTATATATTGATTAGATCTTGGTCAAATTCGAAATTGGTAATAATCTGATAAATGGTTTCAGAGTTATTGACTTTGACCTTTAAAAACTCGTTAAATTTGGCTTGTAAAGTTTTTACAGGTAATAATCGGACAGTTTCAGAGGCATTGCCCTTGTGTGTACGTCGATAAGACCATGTTCATGATTGAATTTGATGAACTGTTTTTGAGGTTTTCCTTGACTTATAAATATTTTGATATTATTTGAAAATTCATAATTAAGCCACTTAAAACTTTATTATTTCTGACAGCTTGTAGTGTGCGTTTGTTACCTTGCCTGGCAAGCTATCTGTTTACATTTAAATAAAGTCATTTAAAATTTGGTTTGAGATGAAAAGATTTCTAATTATAGGAATTAACTCCCAAAACATGTGAAAATGGCATAATTCTATCCGTGTACCCCACATTGGAGCCCGTAGACCTTTTGACCCTCAACTGGTATTTTCCATTCCCTCTTCACTGGGGTTTTGTCTCGCACTTAAAATATAGATTGGGTGTAATGGGACGTTATTACGTAGTATAATGTTCATGTATGAAGAGATCAAGTGCTACTGTTTTACATTTCAACGTCTTATTATTTATGTATCTGATTCGTGACACACTTTATAAACTAAATTATTATTATTGACGGACCGACAGACAGGGACGTCGGCAATATACATCCACATTTGGGCGTATAAAAAATATCACTGGCCAGAGGAATTCCTTTAAAAAGATGAATTTTTGGATTCCTGGAGTGGGAACGTCCACTGGACTTGACCAACATGTTCTCTTAAAGGCCTGTGTCTACATACACATTTTCATGGGCGTTTTCAAACGCTGAGAAACTCTATATATCAGGACTGTGCAACCTACGGCCCATGATTTCGTGCGACCCGCGCTACATGTGAAATTTTAAGGAAATGCAGCCCGCGAACAAATGCTTCGATTGCTCTTGTCACTGTCCGTGTGGCCCGCATTTTGTTTTGCCTATTCTGATATCGAAACCCGTTATATCCGCGCTGTTATATCAAAGTATGATGTCAAAATGAATCTTACCAATAAAATCATAAACAAGGTCTGGCCTCGTGTGAAACAGTGATTTTACGTCAAATATGTCTGTTATATGCAATGCACATTGAAATACGTTATTGAATAAACGACTTGAAACAATTGCATATTTCTCATTGTTAATTAAATGCTTCATTGATGGTTGGTTACGTGGCCCACGGCCTACTCGCATCCCCCAAATGTGGCCCGCCGTTACGGAAAGGATGCATAGGCCTGCTATATACCATTTCAATAGGTCCATATAGGCTCTTAATACGCTTATAACCTCCAAAGGGGGATGAGATCATAATCAAAATGTCACATGAGCATATTTATAAAAAATTTATCTTAATTTGACAATAATTGCCCCACCAAGTAGTGATATTCGTCAAAAGAGATTTCTTTTTCAGGTTGACGCCGTTTATTGTAGATATAAAGACTTCAATGTCACTGTCTGATGTCCGTTCATGTGCACATAGTACAACGCGGCGTATTATTCTGTCATCTGACGCGTTTTACGCGGCATTGAAACGCTCATGAAAACGCGTGCGTATTCACAAGCCTTTAATCGTAAAACTCGTCTAAAACATTCTATGGAAGAAGCTATTTCCGGCAACTCTCATCTACAAACTTGGTCAATTGAGTCGACCATCAGTGAGCTAGACTTTCTATTTGAATAGGCTTTCTGGAGTTCTACTGTGATATTGATCAATTCCTCAGAATTTAAATGAAAAACCTAATATCCCTAGGTTTAAATGAAACATTGAAACACTGCATCGCTTGTGGGTTCAATATAAAAATAGCTAGTCAACTGTATTAAATTAGCCCGTCAGTCATTGTGATAACCATGTTCCGAGGACGTACGTGCCTATAGTTGCTAAACGCCATTTACAGAGTTAATCCAATAGCTCAACTGGTAAAGTTCAACTATTAGCAAAGTTTTGCAAAAAATGGAATTTTACCGTAATTGTAGGGCCTATTTTTATATATCTGTTTTTGTAGGTAATTTAGATTGGGATGTCAGGCTTTCAATTACTATAGTAATAATAACTATTATATTAAAAATCATTTATTACATTTACACATAGGATAGTATAATATCATCTTATATCTATCAAAACTATTTCACAGCTTTAGACTTCAGTAATTTATTTCAACTATATTTATACTCTCAATTATACTACTTCTAAAGAAATAATTACTCCATATGACCACAGAAAGAAAACTGCCATAGTATCAAGCAAGTTAAACACAATCTGATATTTATGAAAATCACTATATATAAAGACAGTCAAGCAATATTTACGCATATTATGAGCAGAATATAATAGTTATAGGTAGTAAGTTTTAACTCCTAAGGTACACAATGGGTGAGGTCAAATGTTGAGTTACCAGTGAGTCGAGTTAACTCTGGGTTAACTGCTGGTTAACCCCGAGACGCGGTCATCTCGTAGTTAACTCAGGGTTAACTCAGACTTACCTCTGGGCTTTCCCATTTCTAGTTACGTTTTTCACACGTGTTTTTTCGCGCGATTTTGCAAACTTTGTGCTTCTTCATGGCCTGGGTGCTGCTCGCTGGACGTCGATCATAATTCTCGCCCCTCTCTTCCGCACCGACTACTTGAATAAATGGCACAAAAATCATCTCGAAATCTTAACTTGACTTTTTCAACTTAACTCGGGATTTGAACTGCACTTCAAGCTAACCCCTTAGGTATTAACACCAACTGGAATTCACGTTGATTGTGGGATCCGAGAGTTGTTCATCCAGGTTGTATCGAGTACAGATATCATTTGCTGCTGAATTCTATGATTGACACATTCATGAAGCCATTCCTCTGCTCGAATTTTGGCGTGAGAAAAACGGTAGGTTAGGTAAGGTTAACTCAACTCAAAAATAGACTCAATCCTGAATTTTGGGGTTAACCCCGGGTTGAACCCGTGGTTTAACTAAATCAAAAACGGGAGGTCAAATCTCAGGTTGAAATGGGGATTGAGTAAATTAACTGGGGTTAATTCAATCCTAACTCAACATTTGACCTCACCCAATGTATACCTAGCTTTCAATAGTTTAATTACTATCTAGTTTACCCAAAAAAAAAAAAACCAAATAGTTGATATTTTGATTTGATTTGCACAAATATATTGCCAGACTACATTTTTGTCTCACATTATATGAATAACTATGTCAAGCTGAGAGTACAGTTTCAGATTCCCTGTAACAAATACATGTATACTCATTATCAACTCAGTAAAGGGACATAACTCTAAATAATTTTCTCAATCATTCAATATAAATGTTATTTTAGCTATCTATATGAATTTCTGTTATACACAAACACAACAATGATTAATGATATTGAACTCAATAGTCATCAATTTGAAAACAGTTTATTTTCAGCTTCAAATTGTGTTTAGTTCAAATTCTGCTTCTCAAAAAATCTAATATAATTGAAGAGTTGATTTGAATAGTGAGAGATCAGAGAATCATTATTTTTACAACAAACTATTTTAAGATTTGATGAGGAGCTTAACACAAGTCTCAACTCAAAAGTTCAATCTAAAACACACACATAATTCATGATGATTCAAATTTTCCCAGTAAATCTCCATCTCGGAATAAATAATATTCCTGAAATACAAAAATAAAGGTTTAAAAAAACAATGTTCATTGCTGATTAATATACATGGAGACATAAATCTGTGTTCAACAGATCACAGTAATATTTGTGTTCAGAAATTCTTAAAAGAGAAATAAAGGCTCATCATTGCTATATTTATATTTTAATGTCCTAAGATGTTGGCTTAAAAAAAATTTCAGAACCTAAAGGACATGAAAAGCAGTCATATGTTGTCCTGTTCTTGCCACCATTTCAGGTTAATCCACTTCAGTCCTCTGACCTTCATAAATTATAAGTTAGTCTGCTACTTACACTATCTTCAATTGTAACTTTGGTTCCACCATATTCTGGAAGTAAAACTTTATCTCCAACTTTCACACTGACTGGTTTGACTTGACCATTCTATACAAAATTAAATACTGAATAATGCATCGGATGATTAGACCCAAAGACTCTCAGAAAATTCAAGTGAAAATGACCCTTTTTCGGACTGAAAATTTCCTTTTGTGTAATTGTTTACAAATAATAAATTTTCCAGTGGTTAACATTTTCATCAACCCAAAGACAATCTTAGACTCTCAGTAATATTTGTAGTTGATATTTCAATACATAAGGAGATTGCCAAAGTTCAATTCAGTTCATATTGTATAGTCAGACAGTAGTGAAATGGCTTATTGCTGTCCAAGCAATAGGTTATGGTTTGAATCCTACTCAAAAGGTAAAATTAAATCCGATTCCATGACCATTACTTCAAAGTGTTAATTCTAAATCTCATTAAAGTTACCAAACCTTAATACAATAAAATTATCCTTACATCTTTAACTGCTCCTGGTCCAACTGCCATTACGGTAGCTTCCACAACTTTTCCTTGGGCTTTCTCAGGGATCATAATACCGCCTTTAGTCTTGACTTCTGGTACAAATCTCTCCACCAAAACACGATCAAATAATGGGAAAAATCTCTTGAATGCTTGTGCCTACAAATTAAAAATATAGAAAGTATGATACTGGTATAGAATGTGGAAATCTGATATTTAAATAATTATTACACTACAATTCATAAAATATAACTAGGGTTCTTGAGTCTTCATAAAGGTAATAAAGATAGTATTTTAGCTATATATACTCTTTAGCACAACGCTGAATAATATTGAGTATGAGTTATTGCCCTAGTTCTTCAAAACGTGTTCAATCTTTAGCTCTTGGTAACTCTAGAAGGCAAATATTCAACCTTCAGGACTGAATAATAAAACAAAGTTTTGTCAAAATCCAGAAAGAATCATGCTTTTTAGTGTTTAAGAGCTAAATTTGAAAGCGGTTTCAAGAACAAGGACAATAACTCATAATAAATATTTTTCAATTCTTCTGATTTTCAAGAGGGTTCATCCTTGGTTGATAACAAACACTCATGCCAAGTTTCGTCAAAATCCATCAAGAATTGTGCCTTGTAAAGTTTTTACAAACTAAAATTTTAACGCGTTTTCAAGAACAAGGGCAATAACTCATACTAAATATTTTTCAATTTTTCTCATTTTCGATAGGGTTTATCCTTGGGTGATTACAAACACTCACACCAATTGTAAAATCCACCAAGAATTGTGCCTTCTAGAGTGTTTACAAGCTAAAATTGAACGCGTTTTCAAGAACAAGGGCAATAACTCATACTGATATTTTTCAATTTTTCTGATTTTCAATACGGTTTATCCCTGGGCGATTACGAACAATCATACCAAGTTTCATCAAAATCCGTCATGAATTGCACCTTCTAGAGCGTTTCAAGAACAAGGGCAATAACTCATAGTAAATATTTTTCGATTCGTCTGATTTTCAATAGGGTTTATCCTTGGGTGATTACAAACAACCATACCAAGTTTCCCGCGCTGAAGATTGAATATTTGCCTTCTAGAGTTTTCACGAGCTAAAGAATTGAACACGTTTTCAAGAACAAGGGAAATAACTCATACTCAATATTATTCAGTATCGCTCTAAAGAGTTCAAAAGTGTATGACTGAAGGTTGAATATATCATACTGGTGATGTTACCTTTCCTGGCAAGCTATCTTGTATTACGTAATTCATATACCCACATGTCCGAAAGACCTCCACGCGCACTACTCTTTTTGAAATCCCCACTATACCTCTAAAAATCAACAATGTAACTCAATCTTCATGCACTTTCGACAATTTAAGATAAATACTAAAAAAGAAGCCCAGAATTTTAGAGAATTGTAACTAAAATCGCAAAAAATACCAACCATTTTGATAACTTTTTTAAACTGGAGTCTGAACTGGATTTATCTTCTTTACTTGCATCAGCCAATTTAACCTTTACCCACGTGCTGTATTATACTCACTGCGCACACTCCATGACCTAGATATCAGGGACAAGTTGTTGTTTTATATTTTATCATATATTTTAAATCAAAGTTAAAACAATGAAATTCTGCAAAATTTCTTCAAATGATAAGATTTTGCAATAAAAATGCTAATTTAAAACCAAACCATAAACAAAAGAGCCTGAAATAGATCTTTGATCAAAATTAAGTCGACTTCGTAAAAGGTTCAATAACAGCTCCCGCCGGCCATCGAACAGTCCAGAAAGACTCGCTGCAATCAGAAAGGTGATACCAATTCTCATAATTAGGCTCAGAAAAGCTGAAGAATTAATTGACAACTATTTAGATTAAGCGTTAAAAGGTAAATATTTCAGGAATTGGCAATCGAACCCAATTGCATGTGATCTAAGGATCTCGTAGACCTTTTGGTTTGGTCATTTGAAGTTCTTTATTTTCACCCACGTGGGTTTAGATGATATGCGTACAGTTCCCTTGACCCGTACTTACAATGATAGGCACGAAACCCGTCCACTATTTGCAGAACTTAATGTTATCGTATATTGAACCGAATAGAGTGCATCCAATTACATTGCAATTATTTGAAAGTTATGTAATCAAATGTACACATAATACAGGTGTATTAATAGTAATTTATCTTATATACTTTCAATATAATCTAATACCAGAACGGCTTTGCAACAAAATTGAATCTTTTCATTAAATTAGTTAAATTCATCACAAATTAGAGATTAGGTGGTTGAAAGATAACAAAGTGAGGTAAAACCAGTTCTCATGTAAAGTGTGAGAAAAGAAAGACTATGTGGCGGTACCTCCTTTCATACACCTTAATTAATCTTTTAATTACAATAATTTACAGTTATCAACTTTTTTAATTATTTAGGTAATTGTCATCTTTTAATGATTGTCATTAATTAAATTAATAGTACAGTCAAATAACCTAATTTCGTGGAAACCTATTATTCGTGGATTTTCGGAAATGATTTCATTATAATCCCGAGCGGTAATCGGAATTCCAAGTGTCGTCTGCTAGAATATAATCCAACGAATGAAGTCACGTGATCAACTAGCCGATTCCGTGTCAGCAGAAAATTTCTATGGAATACAAAGTGGACCATATTCTTATGTTGTTTCAGTGACTTTTAGCAATAAATCAGGCTACGTATCATATTTTGTCAGTCACTATTTTTTTTTAAAATTTCTTTGACGAAATTCGGTGTTGAATCCTTATATCCACGAAAATAGGTTACACCACTGTAATATAAGTTATTTTATAAATACGCCCACATGAAATGGGGGGCATATATTGCCGTCACCCATGTCCGTCCGTCCGTCCACAATTGCTCGTTAACACTATACAAGACACAATTCTTGACGAATTTTGACAAAACTTGGTATGAGTGTTTGTAATCACCCAAGGATGAACCCTATTGAAAATCAGAAGAATCGAAAAATATTTAATGTAAGTTATTGCCCTTGTTCTTGAAAACGCGTTCAATTTTTAGCTCGTTAACACTCTAGAAGGGACAATTCTTGACGGATTTTAACGAAACTTGGTGTGAGTGTTCGTAATCACTCAAGGATGAACTCTATTGAAAATCAGAAGAATCGGAAAATATTTAGTATGAGTTATTGCCCTTGTTCTTGAAAACGCGTTCAATTTTTAGCTCGTAAACACTCTAGAAGACAGAATTCTTGATGGATTTTGACGAAACTTGATGTGAATGTTCCTAATCACCCAATGATGAACCCTATTGAAAATCAGAAGAATTTAAAAATATTTAGTATGAGTTATTGCCCTTTGTTCTTGAAAAGGCTTTCAAATTTAGCTCTTAAACACTAAAAGGCATGATTCTTACTGGATTTTGACAAAACTTGGTTTTATTATTCATTCCCGCGCTGAAGATTGAATATTTGCCTTCTAGAGTTTTCACGAGCTAAAATTGAACACGTTTTCAAGAACAAGGGAAATAACTCATACTCCATATTATTCAGTATCGCTCTAAAGAGTTCAAAAGAAGTGTATGACTGAAGGTTGAATATTTCATACTGGTGATTGTTACTTTACTGCTAAATATTTTTATTCAAAATCAAAAC